ACACACACACACACTTTGCAGGTACTATAGGTGATGGAAGTAATGGAGATATTGCTGCTGATCAATACCATCGTTATCTGGTACCCCAGCTATGAACTGTTTCTTTAGAACAAGGATAGCAACTTTTTAACAGTCAACTGTTTCTTGTTCAATTCATGAATTGTGTTCCTCAATCGGCCACAAATTCCTTAATTTCTTGAAACAGGAAGACATAGATCTAATGGCCTCTATGGGAGTCAACAGCTATAGGTTTTCAATTTCCTGGGCAAGAATCCTACCAAGTGAGCATATTTTTCTTACAATCTTGCTACATGCACACCTCCTTTTACACCTAACCTACCGAATTTACACTTGGCATAATCTCACACCACATTTCCCATCCCACATAATCCAACCATTATAAAACTACTATATCATCTATCTTTCACTAAGTCATGAAGGGAGATGTACAAATATCTTTATCCTTTTTCTTATCATTATAGGCTCTTCTTTTCAAGAAGTACACAAGTTTCTTACTTTGGGGATTCTATTATTGAATGTCAGAAAAAAACTATATTTCTTTCTATTTTCTTAATTCAAGACTTACATAGCATGATAGCATCTTAATCGACGTTGACTATGCAACTTCCTAACTTAAAAACTCTTGTGATGGAGAGGAGAACAGAAGGGAAATATGGAGCTGTGAATTTGGCAGGCATTCTCACGATCCGAAAGGCAATTACAACCGTGACAGATAAGAATCAATATTTGAACTGGCGATTTTAACATGAAGGTTCATTCACCAAACATATTGCAGCTAAAAAACATACCAAAACTCATCAGAACTCACTGAAATACTCATTACCAACTTATAAATAGTTGAAATGTCAATACCAAATAGAATTATTCAAATCGGCACCTTGTATTGCTTCTTAATGTGTGCTTCCTTAGTCCCACAAACCTCTGCAACTACCTTAGCAATATACATAGAAACTAAATTAGTGAAATGAGTAAACGAAATCTACACTCGTGAACACAATTTCACAAATGATAAAACCAATAGCAAAACCTAACAAAAAGAAACGTATCATACCGAAGAAAGCACTGCGATACCGAGCGAAATCGAAACTGGATCTGAAAGGGCGAAAATAATGGACGATGAAACACAGCAAATCGACTGCAGAGAAGAACAAAGGAGCGAGATTTCGTTTCAAACAATCAGTACAAACGGAACAAATCAGATCGGTGAACAAATCAGATCGGTCGCAGAGAAGAAACACCGAACGAAACTGGATCTCAAAGGCCCAAAATAATAGACGATCAAATATAGCAAATCAACTGCAGAGAAGAAGAATCGACCGAGATTTCGTTTGAAATAATGACTACAAACGAAACATTAGAAATCGGTCGCAGAGAAAGAGGACCGAACGGAAGTTCGATACCCTGCCGATTTCACACCGTTTTAAACCAAATCGGATCGGACGAACTTTGCAGCAAAGCAAAGTCACGATCCGACAGCGAAAAAACGAATCGATCCGGAAGAAACAGACGGGAAGAAAGAGACGGGAATAGGGACTCTGTTAGGGTTTCAACGGGCACGAAGGAAGTAGAAGCGTCCAGAGAAAGCGATTGGAGAGAGAAAAACTTGCGTAAGGAGGAAGCGAAATGGACCAAAAAAGGACGGCAAATCCACAAAATATCTCCCACCAATTCGGCTCACACGGCTCCACTCAACGNNNTCGGCTCACACGGCTCCACTCAACGCCTAAGCTTAACGGCTCCAACAAGCGGCCAAATGGCTTAACAACAGTAAAAAAAAAGTCCACTTTTATATATTGTAGAGGATTTCAAGATTACAGAAAAATCAACACTGGAGAATATTATTTAAACTCAATTGTGAATCCCTGATCCAAGAATTCTCAATCCTTCTCCAATGGTATTGTCTTCATTTCTCCTGTTTTTCATAACTTTTCTATTATTTCGGTGAAATGGGTTATCCTGGGAAGTGGATCAAATCACTGATCGGTGCCAAAAATTCCCCACCAAGGAACAATGTAGGCCAAAATCCTCCAGGATTTGTACATAATCTTATTTCTGTATTTCATTCAATGATCTCTTTTTTTATTTTTTTATTTTTATTATTGTAAGAGAAGGTGGGTGGTAAAGG